CGTTTTTGGCACCAAGGAATGCTCAACAAACTTCACCATCATACGGCTCACCACCTCAGCTATGCCATCTTCTATCGAGTTTTCTCTCAGGCAGATCACTCCATGGGGTGATGGATAAAGTAGCGTCTGATACCATTGCTTCCACTTCCAGAGTTCCAAAAGGGTCAATTTTGGCAACAAAATTGTTCCTACTTCATATCAAAGATATATTAGAAGCAACCGGTTGCCCTATCTATAGTTCTGCAGATGATAGTACTCTCCAAACTAGGTTATCTTCTAGGATTCCCAATTATTTCAGGAAGTGAAGAACTAACGACGAAGGGAGGTCAAGACAATCAACGAAAATCTTGTGAAAATGACAGCCTGGGGAACTTACAACCTAGTTGAATTCAACGTCATCTTATCTCAAGCCTTTTTTTTTCTCTAAGAAGGTGTAACTCAGTATGCCTGATATATGACAATGTCTGGTGCTACCATTTCAACCAAGACCTCGATATATATAGGCTCGGTTTTACCATCAGCAATACTTCCTCATGGAAAATCATGATCGATCCATCGCAGAAGCTGCTGCACGAAAACTCGGATTGTTGTTTCGTGTGAAAATTCACTCTACACCCCGACTGCTCCTCAGTTTTCATGATCTACAAAGCACATATTAAAGTTTCAGAATACTGTTCTCACATATGGGGTTCAATACCCAATTATACGCTGATGCTTTCAGATTTCATCCAAAGGATCCCAGTCAACACACGGACATTCGATGGACATCCATTGGACGTCCATTTAGGATATTTGGGATATCCAGAGAATATCCAGTGATATCCGATGTATATCTTATGGACGTCCAATGGACGTGCCGAGTGGAAGGAGTTGGACTTCTATAGGATATCCTTCAGGGACATCCATAAGACATTTTTCAGGGATATCCATAAGATATTGTTCACAAATATCCATAAGACATTTTTCAGGGATATCCATAAGCAGAGATTCACGGCTTGACTTGATATTCAAGCTACTTGACTTGACTTGACTTGAAATCAAGTCAAGTTCAAGTCAAGCGAAAGTTTTTTAATGTCAAGTCAAGTCAAGTAATTATTTATCAAGTACTTGAAAAATCAAGTAGTTCTATCAAGCTACTTGATTTTCAGCAGTTTCAATGTGTATCTATACAGCGTGACTCACGGTCGATGTTATAGGTTAGACGTTTATGGAGAACGAGACGCGGGATTTTTCAGAAAATTTCGCATACACAAAAAATTCCTGAAGTTGAAAAATCTCGATTTTTCGCACTCTATATCTCCATAATCATTTCCGCTATACCCCGAGTGTGATATATCGATGAAATCAACTCTTCAAGGAGAATCTGAAAATGCAATAAAATACAGGGTGTTCAATTCGAAATAACAAAGTGGTTCCTACTTTTCTATAGAAGCGGCAACGTCGTGATTTTGAAAATATATTAGATCGATAGTACCGGTGATGAAATGTGAGATGCGAAATTTTCAGAAAAATCCTGCGTTGCGTTCCTATCATAAACGTGAACGTCTAACCTACCATCGACCGTGAGTCACCCTGTATATAACTGATGAAATGAAAATGGCATCGTAAGACTGACTGCGCGATCGATTCAGTCAGCTCGGATCTCGGGGAACCCCCGTATTTTGTCTAAGCGTGAGCGAGCTTGCAGAAATATACGCCGTCGTGCGACTCGTGCGTATCAAGATCAAGTATTATCAAGTAGCTTGATTTCAAGTCAAGTAATAAATATCTCAAATTCAAGTCAAGTCAAGTACGTAATTTGCCACGAGCTTGATTTTCAAGTCAAGTCAAGTAGTTTGTTAAAATATCAAGCTACTTGACTTGATGAATCTCTGTCCATAAGATATTGTTCACAAATATCCATGAGATATTTTTCAGGGATATTTACTAAATATCCTTAACAATATAGAACACCATGTATATTATTCCATAATGAATTAGGAACTATTATAACGAATTCAACGGTACCGGATTGGATAGGGTTATTTCAAACGATTACGAAGATATTTGCATTCGAAGTTTTCATATGCTCATTGAGGATATGGAAATGTGCATATCTTCCTAATCGTTTGTAGAAATCCTATCAAACACAGTATCGTTGAATTCGTTATGATAATCCTTCGATTATGGAATAAAATACAGGGTGTCCCGTTTGAAAATGCCATCCTCGGTTAAAGTGCCAGTTATGAAGCAAACATGTAGGTACATACAACACAAATAAATAGTTGATCTTTGTGACATTTATTTGAGAAGTACAACTACCAAGGACAGGTTTGACATTTCCAGAAAAGAAGTTGCTCGTCCACCCTGTTTGTGATAGGAAAATTGAGAATATTCATTATGTTTCATATAACTGGTCTCTTCATTTTTTTCTTAAAACAGGGCATCTCATCTATAGGAATACTGATTGTATTAGTCCCTCTGTTGATTGCTTTTTGTGTCAACCAAGCATATTTATATCTCTGGAAGATCCCACATTCTTCCTGAAAACAATGATATAGAGTTGAGTTTCAGGAGTTTACCAATATCATTATTAGGGACTTACCTGACACACACTGACTGTAAACATAATGAGGCATAATACTTATTATACTTCAATGCAATCATTTGCATCCATTTGACCAGCCAAAACCAGGTGGCCCGCATTTATGAGCTCAGCTTCATTTTGGAGACACTGAATCACTGAAAAAGGATAGACAGATTGAAATGCACAGGCTAAATGGCCAAATCATAAGAATTCTTGTTCAATAATGATAAAAACTTACAGCTTATGTTGGTATAGGTTTTAGGTTCAACATTCCAACTAGAGGTAGGTAGGTGTTCTACTGTTAAACATCAGAGATATTATTGTCCTCAATCAAAACACAATGAACCACTGGAAAACACGGATTTAAAAAATACACAAATATCAAAGCTGAGAATGATTGAGAACTCAAAACGAAATTAACATAAACACACCTCTCAATAAACACCATCACCAAAACCAAACAATGTAAAATATAAACAATCAAATAGTACTGGCTTTCGCCGTTCTGGCTCTGGCGCTACGATCTCTCTTTCGTTTGACATGGCGGTATTTTCAAATCATCCCACCCGATTTATAAAATAACTTACTCTGAACAATCTATATAACCTCTATGTATTACGGTGAAGTTATAAAAATTATGAAATTGAAAATATTCTATTAGCCTGAATCAATATGATCATACCTATATTTCTTATTAAAAGTTTAACGCATATTATGAGAATAGAACCATAACTAGGTGTGGAATTCAGGAATTCTGAGAGTGGAGAACGTTCAGATATGACACACTAAAAGTCATTATGATTAATACGTATTATAATATACCAAATATCATTATTGCTTATTTTTATTATTACGATGTCTTTAAGACGTATTCAGGACGTGAGAATCAGATATCTTTAAAACGTCTGAATGATGACATCTTGTAGACGTCTTATTCAGGGAGTAAGACGTACAGACTAAGATAGGATATAATTCAGACATCTTAAAGACGTTTTGTGCTATATGGGTAAGATATCTTCTGATGGATATCCGCTATAAATCCATGGATGAATATCTCATGGATGTCCATCTGAAGACCACAAAAAAGTAAATATATGAGAGCTATTTTCGAGTGATTGTATATTTTTGTACGAAAACATTGAACAACAGAGAAAAATTCCAAACTGTGGTGTTGTTATTTATATGAATTCATATTTGCATCGGATATCTTAATTGTGGCTATAAACATATTATACCTACATAACAATAGTTATATGATGGAAAACTACCTTTGAATTTCTAATAAACATGTGATTTGCATGTGATATTTGTGATGATTCGTATTGTTTTGAACCATTCTCAATTAACATTTTTTGTTCGCTAAACGAACATCTTATGGACGTCCATAGGTGATCCGCATCAGAATATCCATTTGATATCCTCTGACGGATATCCTATGGATATCCATTTCATGTCCCAGGATATCCCGACCTGAAATGGACTTGAGAAGGATATCCATAGGATATCCTGTGTTATCTGGGATAGTCATTCGCCTGGTAGGGGATGCCACACTCACTTACTCATCGACCCCATCTGAACACCTTTGAAAAGTTGGCCACTTTCCACGTTTCTATAGATATTTCCACGGGAGATGTTCCTCAGAAATATCTGCTTCAATTCCATCACTAGCAATACCAGTCGGACGAACTTGACAGCGCCAGTCACCACATCCATCCGTAAGCAACCTCGAAATATATCGGAAAACTCTCTAATAGAACTCGTTTGTCTATGAAACGGCAAAGTTTTGGAATTCTTTGACAATGGAACTATTTCCAACAACTAATAACCTCCACAAAAAAACAACACCTGCCCTATCTTCCAATCCTCCCTAGATGCGCACGATGTTTAATGAACATCATAGGAATTTCCTCTCGTGCGCTCCAAGAGATAACAAAGTCAAGCTCTGTCTGTCTATCTATCTAAATAAAATCAAGCTCTAATTATATAGCAACACCTTGTGTACGGCATACCATCAGGAAAAATAAGTGCTAATCTCCCATTCGGATCTGATAAAAAACAGTTTATCACCAGCCGAAATTACTCCGGAGTGGTGAATCAAGCGTGTTCTTTCACAACCCGACGTGATAAACGACGCTGGCTCCCGACCTAAACTCATAATAAGGGCGGTAAAAGGTAGAGAACACATCTAAAAGGGAAGTGAAAAGGTGTGAAGATGGATTTGAGAGGAGAACAGACACGCGAAGTGCCAATCTCCTACGGCAGCCAGCAACATTCTAGGGGGAAGGGAGAAAATAGGCGGAGCCTAAGAGAGGAGTTAGATGATCTCTAATGGACCACGAACCGACAACAACTAATCTGTGCCGACAATACGGTAGCCAGTCTGAGGTTTTAGTCCAATCTTGATAACTACCTATCAGTTGAATCACTTTCGAGCATGTTAAATGATCAAACAGCCGAGGATTGTAACACTTCTACTGATGAATTCGAAGATAGCGATGACAGTAGCGTGGATATTGTTTCTACTGGATGTGAAGGTGACATTCTGCAGAAAGAACTCCGATCCTGTGATATCATAGCAGATAGTAGTCACCATAAGTTCTCTATCAATAACATTCTGGGGATCAAAAAGGAAGAGGATGCTATTGGGGAAAATGCAGATGGAGAAGAGGTTGCAGCAGAATGTCCAGTTGAAACTAAAATCAAGTGCATCAAACCAACACCGATATCAGGTGGGTATCTAATGTATGGAATTTAAAAAAATGTGAATTTTTTCACACGGTTCTGTGCACTCAGATTGTTCACAAGTATTATTGCGTGTTCTCGATTTCTACATTCACACTTTTTTTGATATCACCACACTGAAATAGTAATTTTCTTAACAAGTGCGGAAAGTGATTCTTTCCTGCACGTGACTGCCGTTGACACGAACGACGCGAAGCGGAGTTCGGGCAAGCAGTCGAGTGCGGGAAAGAAACTTTCCGTATGAGTTAGGAACAATATTTTTTCTACAAGCGTAGGAAATTGATTGAATCGTTCAATTAATTATTCAAGCAAATAGGAACAACTAACAAGAGATATATATTCTCTATCTATTAATTATTAGTAATAGCTATTGTGAACTTACAGTTTGACGCATTATCTTGGTTCATTGCGGAAGCCAGCAGGCCCATTAGGAGTTTGGTCTCTAGGTTCCAGACATGCTTCTATGAAATGAGCCAAAAATACCTATTCTTCATTCGGTTTTTTCATTTCTTTATTGTTGCACCATTCAATAAAACGCGTGTATGGCTTCTCATACCTTTCTTGAGACTTCGTTGGTTATAACGCATCTGCATCAAATCCCTATAGCTATAGAAGTTTTTGATCACATTGTGGCATTTCCACTGAATCGAAAATGACAGTAACGCTGTGTCTGTCACTTCGACAATTTCAAACTTATTTGAGGTTTGATTGGCATGACAAATTGACGTTTCCCGTCAGATCAATCCAAATCTATAGGGGGATTTTTATAATAATCAATTCTTATTTCTCAATATTTCTTAATTTTTACAATAAATAATGCAATTTGATGGATGATTCTGGACATACATACTTAATACTGCAACAAACAAACTTGAACTTTTATATTCCATCACCAACCACTTATATTACTAGCGATTTTATCATATATTTGTTTTCCCGCACTAGTGCGGGAAAAAATTTCCCGCACTAGTGTGCATTGTTGCGGGAAAATGACACTTCCCAAACTAAATTGCGTGCGGGTATAGGGTGAATCACGCACGCTTGTAGAAAAACTATTTTACCTATTTTCATTTCTTTCATGATCTGCATCACGAAGATTCAGTGGCGACTATGATTCGCCGGAAGTAGGCTCTTCAATTTTTGCTGCTTCTGCTGACATCTGAAATGAATTGATTGTAGATTCGATTTATCAATAACATTGCAACTTTATGATTTGTGTTCTATCGTCTTCTTTACTAACATCAGTTTTTCCTCGTTATCATCTAGCATGATTCTGACTCAGGGTTTCGTTCTGTCAGTTTCTAGATTATTTTTACAACCCACAATTTGATGGAAATTGCACGAGGAATAGTTTTTGGGTATATTTCTGAGCTGAAAATGGTCAATCATGTCTATATCATACGAATATTCTGATATAAACACAGCTATGACACTAAAACAAAATAATGTATAGGTATTTTGTGAAAGTTGATGAATGATATTCATTGCACTTACAGTTTGAGAACAATACGAGCAGTATCTTCATTAAATCCGGCGAATGATGAAGATAAATTGAATGATTATGAGTTATGCAACTCTTTCAAGGTACACCAAAAACAAGATATGTGAAGTTCCACTCAAACTTCACTCAATAATGTCTCAATTTTGGTCCACGCCCGATTGACTTGAAAATTCACTATACTTGACTGAGTGAAATGGTAATTAAATATGTGAATATAAGAAATCAGAATCGAGTCAATGTTTCCAATTCAGATTTGAATATTATTTCACTGAAGCGATTTCTTGAGTGAGTTTCAACTTATTTTTGAGTGCCAAGAATATTTATTGAGTGTGTATATGCCCATTATTGAATGCTTTCATACCCAAAATGAGTACTCACTCTTAAACTCCTTCTGACTGGTTGTATATAATATTGAGTGAATATGATATAAAGTTCATAAGTTTATTAACAATCAAAGTAGATTACAATACAAATACAATCACAATGTACTTCTGATAAAGAACAAAGCTAACACGATTTGAAGTCATCAGTACATGCGGTCTCGTCTATACCGAAATCAAGTATGACTTCTTCTCGCTGCAGACTCTTACTAGCAAGCTCGTAGACAGTCACATCCGTCTGCATACAAAAATGCATATATAAACAGCTGATTCAAGAGAGTATTCATCAGAGCAGATTTGTTGTGGGTATGTTACCAAAATGGGGACGAATTCTCGAATAAAATTTCCTACTAATATCTTATAGATTTCATGAATGATCACACTTGAGTTATTGAATCAGATTTGATAAACTTCCTCAATTAAGATACAATATACCTAATTTCGAAATAATGTGATCTATGGATATTCAATTCACTCATTTCTGATTGGAAAAACTCTGATTTGATTACTTTTCAGTCACTATTGAGTGAAAAGCAAACACACGAACATGGCCGTGCATGTTTGTGAAAGAAATCAACGACGATATGGACTATTCAACGAAAGAATATGTATATTGATTTATCTGAACGTCAAGGTAATTGGATATAATCAACATTCTATACAATCCATCAATCCAATGATAAACGATCACACCATCCAAATGAATATTTGAATTATCTGATACAAGTCACGATCATCAGCCATGTTATTGAAAGCCATCATGTATTTTACGAAATCAAACTTAGGTAGGTAGGAAGGTACCTATACCCAAACTTCACAGATATAATCATGCTTATAACAACATGTTTTCTGGTCGAACTTGCAGTGAGTACTTCTTCACCATTAAAATTCACTTCGCTGAAATTCACAAGATGACAGGATTGTTTTTATGCACAAATCTTCCATGAAGACTGACACTATCAATTGGATTTAACGGCCTCTGCTTAGTCTTGACCTGGCTCGATTCTTCCTTCCGCTGATGACAAAAGAGATTCAAATATTGTGGTGACTTAGAACGGTCGACATGTTATTCCCTATAATACACTTTTCACTGTTTGCACGTTGAGAAGGGACTGAGATAGTGACATGACTGAGAGGCTAACAAAATACTGCGCATGGGCCGGCCCTTTTACCAATTATTTGGTGAAATCTCTCGAGAATGAGTGATTCTCACATTTTGCATCTAATGATTGAGTGAAAACCACTCTTATATGGTTTCCTTGTTTGTTTTATCCCAAAATTTCTGCTATTCAATCGAATTTGTCATAAACATTTTCATTTTGGTAGCAATTGTGGAAATACCCATTTTTCATTGATAATTCACTCAGAAATTTCACTCAGTAGATTTACTCACTACCAAATTTGCAGTCACTCAGGAAGGTCTCTTACAGTGTACCTTTTTGTGATATTTGAAATTCGCAGTCATCAATTATTAAAAACAGTTCCTTTTTAATGTCCCCTGTACCTTGTTCATTTCCTGAACAGATCAACTGAAGAAATTGAAACTTCAGATAGTGAAATTGATGCATGTATACTATATTTTCGGGTGGAATTGACAAATGGAAAGTTCAAGATACCAACTGGGTGCCATCTGAGGAAAAAAATCAAATGATCTTGTGACACATCCTCGATGAGACTTCAAAGAGGTTATGTGAGCGCGAATGATAGGTCTAATTTGTTCTACCGTTTTATGAATGCACTGGAAAAACCCATATTGGCCTTCATGTGTCCATATAATCCAATTGACAGGCTTTGAGATACTATGATAGAACTATCGCATAAAACAATTTGGCATTCAGCTCACTTCGGTTTCAAAAGAGCTCTGTGAGAGTCATTGAAATTCCTTATCATAACTATTCACTCTTAACAACCCTCTTAAAACACTTAAGTTTCATTAGTGTCTCGAATTTGACCAAGAGGTTTTGAACTAATCCTATGAAAATAAATCATGAAGCAATCATAAAAACAAATTTACGCTAGGCCAATTAGGCAATGATGAAAACTAATGGCATTATTCTAGCTATGTGAAAGTAATCATCAAGACATATGAGCCACAATGTATTCATCGAAGTCAATCATAAAATCTATAGGATCTAGGAAGCTTTATTTAGAACCATGTTAAACCCAAATCCCATAATATAAATGTTCGTATTTTTTTCCTACAAACGACTCACGTTGAAATGAACTCACAAAAAAATCAATAGTGTGAAATTAAGAGAAATGGCAACTTCGAGCGAAAAAATGAAGAAAATTACATAAGAATCAAAAATCGAGTCGTGAGAGCAACAGTGAATCAGAATTCTCGAGCCCAAGCAAGTGTTTGGACACTGCGTCTTTCAACTCATCCCACCTGAAACCACCAGAAAGCAAGAAGTCATTAGGACCTGATGTTCATTAAGTACCATCAACGAGTCAGAACGTACTGGAAAATACTTCTGATCATCGTGCTTCTGAATGGGAACTAGGAAGCGAGGAAGTTGACAACAGTTTTGCACAAATTATGTCAGATGGCGAGTTCAGCATGAATTTGAGAGAATAGAACAGTCAACACAATATCAGGCAAACTGCACTGAGTGTAGTTTGTCTATGTTTATGTTTTCTAGTCGGTTATCACGAAATTCAGTAAGTGAACACTGTAAATAACAAAAGTAGGGTTATGTTAATCATGTTGATGACGTTCTTCTAGCTAGGATACTCTTGAAACTTTATAGTTTAATGAAGGCATTATCGCATAACCTCCTTGAATCAATCTTATCATTTTCGAAGCTTTGTTGTCATACCCAGGAGCAAATAGTCAAAAGAATGGATTTGAATATGCAATAAGTACTTCAATAGGAGGAAATCATCTCATAAAATGCCTAATCATCACCTGAAGGTTTCAATCAATCATTAGAGGAAGAAAACTGGTTCTAAGTATATTTTGCGCCATATCTACTACAAACAGATGTCGGCCATTGATGGAAATGAAAATGTCAAGCGGAAAATAGAAAAGATGTATTGATACTGCTGTCGAAAATGTTGTTTTTTCACATTTTTCGAACGGCTCACCCATATTCAGCAAACATTC